CTTTCAGTTGCACGATAAGTAGATGCCCTTTTCTTAATTTATGCACCTTATCCCAGTACAATATTACATTTGTACTATTTTTTCACAAAACTTAAGAAGTTGTACCTTTTAGCATGTATATCGGGATTCAGAAAATAACTCTGAAAGATACACTCATGGACAAAACTTAAGGAAGTTGTACCTTTTAGCATGTATATCGGGATTCAGAAAATAACTGTGAAAGATACACTCATGGACAAAACTTAAGAAGTTGTACCTTTTAGCATGTATATCGGGATTCAGACAATAACTGAAAGATATTTGATACACAGTGACCTTTAATGAAGACATACGAGATAACAAAGTGTCAACAAAATTGCCTCTGTCTCCTTCAAAGACTTATGTTTTGTTGATGAATGTATTTAAGACTAGTTGACACCAAATATAATATTTTTATTTAAAATGAAAATGGGAACAAGCTATGGAAAAGATAAGGATATTTCGGAAGTGTGAATTGCCCATGTCATCGTTCAGGACTATATATTATTAAGACCACCGGTCTTATACGGATTCACCACAGGAAGGAAGCACAGATGGAGCTCCTATACTCCAAGCAGCACAGAACCCGCTGGAATTAGATACAAACAGCTTTATTAAGACCACCGGTCTTATACAGATTAACCACAGGAAGGAAACATAGATGAAGTGCCTATACTCCGAGCAGCACAGAACCCAACAGCCTACAGGATCTTATACAGATTCACCACAGGAAGAAATCATTGATGGAGCTCCTATACTCCAGACAGCACAGAACCCAGCAGCTTCCAGGTCCGACACATGTCCAGTGGCCACAGAATCTACCGTACATAGGTTAGCGTATCACTGAAAAGACGAGTGTGGAATCAGCCGCGTTCTAGACTTCACTTTCCTCATCCAAATAGATCACGGCATTCGGCGATTCTAATAATCTCCTCCAAACGGTAACTGCGGCCTTGTAGAATTTATATAAACCAAAGACCTTGATCAAACATCATTGTATTCATCCAGTTATATATTTGTTGACTATCGGATTGTGAAACGAGAATAAATACAATATGAGACTGTATTGTCGCGGAAGTAAACCCCGAAATGGCTGTACCACGGAGAAAACTTTCCCTGTGATGATTCAAGAAGTTGAAGACCACAGAAATAACTTGGACAGGTTTTAAAAGCCTTGTAAAAGTGATATGTGTATTGTATCAGCTAGTAGCGCGCTCTCCTCTAGCCACGAGCTCTTCTGCCGGCACAGGCAGCATCTCCTTTTATAAAGGCAAAAATATAAACAAAATCAAATATACGAAATATCTATTTACATATATAGAAGAAAGAAAAGTATATTTTTTCATATAGGAGAAATATTCTCCAACATATACAGGGTGATCCAAAAGTCCCGCACTATTTTAAAAATTAATAACTCCGCGAATATTTGCGTTAGAGCAATGCGGTAAACACCATTGTGTTCAGGATGCAATGGGATTTTTTATGAAAAATTCGAAAATGATTTTAGTTACACTTTTATTCGCTAGATGGTGCTCTACCAGAATCAGAGATTAAGCGGTCAAATTGTTTGAAAAATTGAAATAACAGTATGTTGTATCGTTTTTGAAGACAATCTCAGATTTAAAAAGCTAATTTATTAAACTTTAAACATTTTCAGATATAGAGAGACACGAGTTAATTATCTCTTATTTAATGCAACAAAGTTATCTACAACATCGTTCGAACCAGATCAAACTTACGCAAAAACAGACGACAAAGAAAAAAAATAAACAAATCAATGGTAGAGGGTAAGTTCCTATTTATTACATGCTTTCACACTCAAAGAATAATCATTTTCTTGCTTCACTATATACAAAGAACTTCCATCATTTCTGTAATGTAACTGTAAATAATTCATAGAATTTAAAAAGATAAGTTATCATCATGTATGTTTATGTTATATATAGAGACTGCTCGAGTTAGGCTGAAGATACATATAATTGTTAAAAAGGCCATAAGTCAGGAAGTTTGCTCTTTTAAAATAAATATAATTACAACAAACAACAACAAAAGCCTTTATTGAGGACCTCTCGCCCTATAAAGGATTCGCCAGTTTACAGAGTAATTGAAGAGAAGAGAACTAAGAATACAGAGATATATGTAGTAGGTATAGTATAGTATTTTCTACACTGTGACTATATACAACAGCAGCAACAAGCCTTTTACTGGAATCAAAGTCCCATACAGGATTCGTCATTCAAATCCTGACAAAGATTATTTATATATAATTATTTACATCAATTAGATTATGTATATAACTTCCTCTTCTCTTCAGCCGTCTTCCAAAATTTGAACAACGCAAACGCTCCAGCTCTGTTTCTCACCACCTCTTTCAACAGGAGCTCCAAAGAGAGTCCCTCAAGGCCTATTTCACTGAGGAGCACTTCTCGTTCGTCTTTCAACCCCATACATGAGAGTATATGGTGATGTAAATAAATATAATTTATTGTTCATCTTCGCAACTTGATCTTTAAAGAAACAAATCAATTTCGGTCATAATTCCATCTCCATTCTACTAGAAAAAAAAGACAAAACTGTTTTACGAGAGATTAGATGTTCAGTTTAGAAAGAGAACACAAACCAATGAATCAAATAACTTTCATATCGCCAACTATGGACAAACAAATCATATCGTGAGCGTATAACAAAGAAGAGAGGGAGACAATGACAATTAACAACTTTATTAACTCCTAGTCAATATCAAAATAACACATTTACAGAAAAATACTTTGTTATTGTAATAAAAATATAAAATATTTACACCACATACTTCTCTGAAGGGACGTCGGGATCCGGAGCTACAAGCCGCCCTGAGTGTGGACCTGCTTATTGTGTTGTCCCCCACATGCTCAATGGCAATGTTGAGGAATTCGCACAGAAATTTCTTGTGTTCAGGCGAAAGTGGACATCCTTCCTCTCAGGGCGGTATAGAAGTATAGAAGAGAGAGATTTTTTTTTTTTGAGATTGAAACAGATTTATTACAATGCTCATATAAGATTATATAAGGTTAAATACAGAATAAATATAAATATGAATAAATATGATTATATATTGATAAATGTAGGAATAAATAGATATAAATAGATGAAAATAATTGGTAAATATACATATATATATATAAATATATACAAGGTTTTCATTGGTGACGCCCATCTCGAGAAAGACTCCGCCACCGATGGACTGCGATAGTTCACAGAGTGGGCAGGTCAATGTGATTGACTGGTGTTACCCACCTCAAGACCAAGATGGTACTTGTAGATGGTAGCTTTCGCTACACTTGTGATATTTATTGCCTCGGGATGTAGGCCGACAACGAAGAGTCAGGCCTGCAGATCCAGGGGAAAGTCGCAGGAAGCAAACACCTCCCGGAGCAGGGGTCGCACGGCTCGGAAACTCCAATATCTGTGGGAAAGAGAGAGAGAAGGTTTTTAAAAATATTTATTCAGTTTGCTTTCATACCTATCGTTATGTCTGTTTACAAATATTGCAATGCAATTTTTATAAACCTCTAAATCATGTAAAAGTGTCAAATTCTTTAGACGCTGTCATGCTATCTAAAAATCAAAGGATCGAAATTTCAGATTACTAGGTGATAGCATGGGTAGGAACGAGTCTAATTTTCATATTTCCAGGTAACCTTTCTTCTTTTCATCTGTTTCTTACACCGACATATCTAGCACTTTTTGTTGGAATTTCAAAAAATGGAATTTTTTCACAGATTTCTAAGAAAATGTTTAGTAAATCTTGAGAGATGTAATTCTTTTAACTGGACATCTTTAACATCAATATACTATATATTTTTTGCTTATCCCTAGGACACGTGGTACAGGTAATTATAGTCATGGTGGGTAGAAGTAGGCGACTGCTTTTATTGTAAGTACACCACATGTCTACATATGTGAAAGCAGTTCGATTTTGCGCTTACAAATTTATAATATGATGCACTAGCGCGCCATCTGTTATCAAAATTCGAAACTATTTTAAAGGCGTAATATTCTTTTTGAAATTTGCCAGAGTCCCGTTTATTCACTTACACTCGCTGGTGGGGTTGGACTTTTTCAAGTATCGGGGGCCATTGGAGCACTTTTTTAAATCAGAAAAAAAGTGCCAAATGCGGGAACGAACCCGGGTCGTGGCGGTTGAAACCCAACGATCATCCTTTCACCGACCCCCTTATATCTTATTGTAAAGACACAGAGTGAGAAATCTTATAAATATGTCTTTTTCAGCACACCTATCGACTTCCGTACACACTTTGTCCCAAGTTAGGATTGATAGCGTGTTTAAAGATCATTAATTGGATGCTAAGACAGGCCATTAATACTGATTTTTTAGAAATATCTTTGTGTATTTTTCAAGTTTACTCTTTGTTTGAAACCTATTTTTAATTCCTCTTTCTAGATTTTTTTTTGTATTTGTGCCGATTAATGCTCTTATTTTTTCTTTCTTGTAAAAAAATATTTGACTTCTAAGCCTTTCTGATCATTCCACCAATCACATTTATTCACAAATGTTCATTTGCGTAAAGAAATTATTCCTTCAACTTCAAATTACCGAGTGGACCACAATTGAACTGACGAAATCGCTAGGAGGGTTCACCATTGATGAGCTAGGACCTCCCATTAATTAATTAATTAATTAATTATTCATTGCAGTAAGGGTAGTAGAAATTGTTTAATTTTTGAAAGACTCATACGTGTACGTGTTTATAATAGTTTCATATTTTGATAACAGATGGCGCGCTGTTGTATCGTAATATTATCGTGTATTTTTCAAGGAACCAGGGAAAAAAATTCAAATTATCGAGATATTCAGATTGAAAAGTTTTAAATTATCGAGAATCGACTATGTTCTCGGAAATATTTTTATTTATTTACTGTGCTGCTAATCAGAATGGGTGATTTTTGAGTTCCGATGGACGCATAAAGCGGTATTAAAAAAAATCCACGCCGGAGAATCGAACCCCGGTCGCTCGCATGACAGGCGGGAATACTAACCACTATACTACCGAGGAACTGAAATGAACTGTATTCTCAAAGAATGTTATGCTCGCGTAGCCAAGTATTTCAATTATGTTGACTGACGCTGTGTGTCCAGACCCAAACCCCGGCCATGGGGACACACCAGCTCCACCGGACAGCCCTCATCAGGTAGGTAACCTCGCACAATCTCTATGACGTGATGTTCTAACAAAGGGTACTATTACGGGTTATCACACAAAAAACAATTAACAGTCACCCAGAGAAGCAGCCTTACACACTCAAGATAGTGGAAATTGCTGTGATAGAGATGTATGGAGATATCTGAGTATCTTTATTGGACACGACAACAACAGAAAATTGACATGGACCCAGAACAGCAGCTTTACACAACCAAGATAGAGGACATTGCGACTGCTGTGATAGAGATGTACGGAGACATCTGAGTATCTTCATTGGACACGACAACAACATAAAATTGACATGGACCCAGAACAGCAGCTTTACACATCCAATATAGAGAACATTGCTATGATAGAGATGTATAGAGACATCTGAGGCTCTTCATTGGACATGAAAACAACAACAGAAAATTGACACGAACAGCAGTATTACACATCCAAGATAGTGAACAATGTGACTGCTGTGATAGAGGTGCATGGAGACATCTGAGGCTCTTCACTGGACACGACAACAACAACACAAATAGCAATATACTGGGGCTTAAAGTAAGAGTAACTTAATACACAGAAAAACGTACTCAAGAGTACAACACCAACACCAAGAGTAAAAAAACACGATTTGTTAAATAAAATAAAAACAGTACTTATCTTTTATTTGCAGCTTTGATAAGGAGCGGAACGGGGTTACACAGGTTGGCGAGACAAACACACAGAGAACACATTAAGCGTATCCACTCGATCACCACTCCACGACTCCTCACATCCCGTTTCAACCCTCTTTTATGTATAAACAAGGCCACATTGGTCCAATGAGAAGGCGTGGGAGATCAGTTCACTTAACAAACGAAAAACATTTTTCTCGAATAACTGAGAAGATTAGAAGTGCAAATGTTTGTTAATATACAGTTAAACCTGTCTATAGCGTCCCCTCTTGGGACTCACCAAAATAGGGTGCTATAAAGAGGGGGCGCTATAATCAGGTCACTTTTAATGTAAAAAACACATCGTACTACGTATTTAAAATCGGGTGCTATAGAGAGGAAGGCGCTATTTAGAGGGGGAGCTATAGACAGGTTTAACTGTAATTTGACAGTTCACCCTGCTGATGTTACCAGGGAGCCCCCGTGGGAGGTTCAAAGAGCAGCAGCGGTTCCTCCAGCGATAGCACGTGGCTCCTGGCAGCGGCCGCGGTGAGCTCGGCCAGCTCCCGACATCGTCCAACTCTCACCTTACAGAAATCCATCTCAACACCTTCCATTCCCACCGCGCAGGACGATCTGCCTGAAGGGGAAGGTACTCCCATTGCTGTATTTACATATAACCTGATAAATACATAATCCTATCATACACAAACTTTACTACCCTTACTGCGATGAAAAATTATATAGGGAAGGCTTGGCTCATCAGTAGTGAACCCTCCCAGCGGTTTCGCACATTTAATCCACCAGACCGCTTCTCAGAGCTCTAATACTGTATTGGACGATTCTGATTATATACGCAGCACTGAAGGGTGGAATCTCAGAAATGATTTTCAATAAAACTATGGACATAAGCTTTTAGGACAGTAGAATTACATTCAAATATTTGCATCGAGCAATGCTCTTCCGCAAACAATAAAGACAAGGTCAGTTAGGCATAAATTAACACAAAGCTATAACGCGCCATCTATACATATAAAATGAAAGGACAGTAGAAGTTTGTATCCCTATATATATAAAGTCAGTGTATGTATGTATGTTTGTCGGCTATACACGTCCACAATACGTAACTAATCTGACTGAAATTTTAACAGTATATAGAGTAGAATCTGGAAAAACTTATAGTGAAAAATGCAGGTCTATATCCCGAATATTCTTCGAGTTATTTGCAAATTGCGTTGCAAATTTGCCTTTTCGCTCGCAAGCAGCGCCTCTAGCGGTAAAGATGGGAGGTAATATCAGCTGACCTAATGTACATGTAAAACGTGTTTTGACAGGACATAGAGAAAAATCTGGAAAAGATATTTATCGGATTTTTAGCCAATAAAAAATAAAATTGACAGGTTCTGGGCAAAAATAGTTGTTTTTTTTTTAGTCAGGAAATGATGATGACAATATTGCTGTATCATGTTTGATTATCAGATACAAAGTTATATCGGGAAAAAATCCAAAAAGCTGAGATCACGGGTGAAGCCATTTCATTTTTAGTGTGCAGAAACAAAATTCTAACAGAAAAACATTCATTCGACCAGAAGACACAAAGCCAGATCATCTCTTTATAAAAATATCGCTTCTCTGAAACAAAGTTTGGAGCGGGACGTTTCCCAAGAGTGACATCCACGGCGCCAATTTATAATTGTAACGAATAGTATTTGAATAAAATTAGTTATGCATAAAGGAAACATTCGTGTTCATTTTATATGTATAGATGGCGCGTTATTGCTTTGTGTTAATTTATGCCTAACTGGCCTTGTCTTTATTGTTTGCGGAAGAGAATTGCTCGATGCAAATATTTGAATGTAATTCTACTGTCCTAAAAGCTTATGTCCATAGTTTACCTGAATACCCTTTCTGAGACTCCACCCTTCAGTGCTGCGCATATAAGCAGAATCATCCAATACAGTATTAGAGCTCTGAGAAGCGGTCTGGTGGATTAAATTGGTGAAACCGCTGGGAGGGTTCACCACTGATTAGCCAAGACCTTCCAATATATTTTTCAACGCATTAAGGGCAGTAGAAGTTTGTATTATGCATAAAGGAAACATTCGTGCTTTTAAATCCTTTCATTTTTTATATAAACCTATTATATATTTATTGTTTTTTATTTATTATTATTATCCTATAGATGGAAGTTTTGCCGGGAGGAATTGATCTAAAGAGACAAAGGTCGCTTCTCCTGTTAAAATACGCCGCAAACTAGCGGCCTCGGGCTGGTGACAAAGCCACAACGTCTATTTTGACGGGAGAGGCGACCTTTGTCTTTTTAGATCAATTTCCTCCCGGCAAAATTTCCATCTATATTTTAGCCATAGATTTAGTCTAGCTACTTTGCCAGCTAAACACCTCTTTGGCAGATTGTCAAGATTCCATTAGATCCCGTATGGATCTCATGGAATAAAGTCCTCTCTAGACTGACGAGGGCCATTAGCCAGAAACCATGATCTCTAGGTGGACGCTTTTCAGTTTGCCAAAGCTGGTGTTGTGGCTTTGTTACCGACACGAGGCCGCTAGTTTGCAATGACGGTCAATAGATGGCGTCTGATTTTGACGTCTATTTAGACGGTAGAGGCGATCCTTGTCTCTTTATTATGATCTTATTATATAAATATTGGAAACTATCATAGAAGCGTATGATTCCGTCAAAAATTAAACAATTTCTACTGTCCTTAATGCGATGGATAAAAATTAATGGGAGGGCCTGGCTCATCAGTGCTGAACCTTCCCAGCGGTTTCGCCACTTTAATCTACCATAAGCTGTTATATTGAATTTTTCGATCTTATTTTTATAGTGACACTGATGCTAGACTCTTGGAATGGGTATTTTAGATGAACTATGGACATAAGCTTTTAGTATACGCGTCTATAATAGTTTCGAATTTTGATAACAGGTGGCGCGCTAATGCATCTTAATATAATTATTTTATATAATAATTGACATTTATTAAGTATAAATAATATTATATTAATAAATTCTGAATATCCAAGTTTGGAAACCCCTATTCTATCACTTTCATAACCTTCTACAAGAAACTAACAGAATAAACAATTTTGTATATACTTAAGAACATTTCATTTTAAATGCGGTACAGGCTTTAATCCAACCTTTCCAGTACCAAATGTGTTTGCGTGTCATTAAGAAAATTACTTAAGGCGTTAATTGGAACAAAAATTACCTTTCTCTGCATCTTGTGCTAATTGCTAGTTGGGTGTGTTACAGGAGCATCGCTGGCACCTAAATCTTCTGGGTAAGTTCCCTTCTCGCTCCAATGTTTTCTATTTGTTCAAAATACTGTAAAACTTGAATATTTCGGATATACACCTATCCCCCGATTTATACGGTACTTGTTTTACACGTTGTGTGTTGTGCTCTGTGTGTACTAGCAATATTTCTTATCTTAAATGATATAAACTTGCTAACGTCTTGAATGAAAGAGATTGGTCTCAACAAAGAAGATTTATACACCTATCCCCCGATTTACACGGTACTTGTTTTACACGTTTTCGCTTTTACACGGTTTTCCAAATAAGTTTTTTTTTTGTTTTTATCGCACTATACTAAATGCTACGGTGATTGAACACATGCGCTGTGTACACATCTCACGAGAAATCCCGAGCTTATAATACTACATATTTTAACCTGTCAATGCATTTTATTTTTATTTCTGTGTACACCTATCCCCCGATTTACACGTTTTTCTCAGGAACGTATCTACCGTGTAAATCGGGGGATAGGTGTATTTAATTCGAAAACGTCTTTAATTCGAATACAGTAGAACCTCAGGGCGGTAGCAGTTAGGGCCTAGTTAGGAATCCTTGCAACTTCCTAAGCCCATAAGCCTGGTTAGTACTTTAGGTTTTGGTTAGGCAGAGCGTGGAGTGTATTTAGATAATCCAGGTCTTTTCAACTTATTATCCTTGAATTAGAGTCATACGATTCTTTTATAAAACCTTTTGACTACGTGAACAATGTCAAACCTCTTCGACTAGGTGAATCTACAAACGCTAAATAATTGGAGCACAGGCTTAAAGAACTAGACCGATTCAAACACTTACTACAAACTCCTCTCTTCAATGGTTTATATTTGTTCGAAGTACAGGAGAACCTATGGGCGGTAGCAGATTCCTAGCTAGGAATCCTTGCCACTTCCTAAGACT